CCAAGAAGCTGGAGTATATGAAGAAGAACGTGGAATCAGGGTTGGAGAACACTGGTTAACAACCTGCCACAGGCAAACAACTGCTTGCGGAAAGTGAAGAGGACTTGAACTACCTCCTGATGAAAACCAAACACTACCACCTTCAATGTGGATTACATCTCAATATAAAGAAAACAAAACTACTCACAACTGGACTAATAAGCAACATCATGAAAAACAGAGACAAGATTGATGCTGTTGAGGATTTCATTTTACTTGGATCCATCATCAATGTCCATGGAAGCAGCAGTCAAGAAATCACATAATTATTGCATTGGGCAAATCTGCTGCAAGAGACCTCTTTAAAATATTAAAGTAAAATTGTCACTTTGAGAATTAAGGTACACCTCTTGAGCCACGGTATTTTCAGTCACCTTGTATGTATGCAAAAGCTGAACAATGAATAAAAAAGACCGAAGAAGAATCGATGTCTTTGAATTACGGTGTTGGTGAAGAATCCTGAATATACCATGGCCTGAAAGAAGAATCAACAAATATGTTTTGGAAGAAGTACAGCCAGAGTGGTCCATAGAAGCAAGGATGGTGAGACTTCATCTCTCATACTTTGGTCATGTTATCAGGGGGGACCTGTCCCTGGAAAAGGATATCATACTTGATAAAGCAGAGGGTCAGTGAAAAAGAGGAAGACCATCAATGAGACAGACTGACACAGTGGCTGCAACAACTGGCTCAAACATAGCAACAGCTATGAGGGTGGTACAGGACTAGGCAATGTTTCATTCTGTTGTACACAGGGTTGGAACTAACTCAATGGCACTAACGACAACAATGAAACAACATCTAAGAAGCTTCTGAAGAAGCTGCAGAGCAGCTGGTCTTAATTTAGAAGAAAATTCACAAACTTTTCCGAAGTTAAGCAAATGCTTTCCCCTTATAATTCCATGCAGTTTTTCCTTTTTTTTAAACAAGTTTCAGAAATTAGTTTAAGCTGGCAACTCAACTTCTGAAAAAAAATATCATAAGGAAAAAACATAAATACTGCTCAAAAAAAAAAGTTCTCAAAGACTTAAAAACTAATTTCAAAAACCTAGAAATAATCAACAATAGGAAACTCACAGCTAAATAATTTATTGTACATTCAAAAGTACAAATATGCTGTACAAATCAAACATGTTTTAGAATATGGAAAAACATGCACAATATACTGTTGGGCTATTAAAAGCAGGTTACAACACAGTCTATATGCCATTGTGCATTCTCATTTTTTGTATCATTACTTATGTGCATAGAAACAAACGGAACAGCTCTATGCTAAAATGTTAATTATGGTTCTCTTTAGGAAATAAAATTACAGGTAATTTTTAGTTTCTTCTTTTTTCTCCTTTGAGCTTTTAAAGTTTTCCACCATGACGCTATATTGCTTTTGTGATTAGATATCTTTTAGTCTTGTTGGTACTAACTGTGGGTTAGACTGTTAAATGATCTGCTTGCCCAGGTAGGTTTTATCCTAATAGTGATCATCCGATTTAGTTATACTTGGTGCATTACTAAAATTCTCTAGCTCTGGGTTTCTAACTCAGACTAGAAGGTGAAAAGAAGACCGTTGAAAGGAATTAACAGAGCTGTGAAAATGAATAAAGTACATCTATGAATATTCATATTAATACAATATTACTAGAGAAGAAAGCCAAGTTAATGAATACATGCAATATAAACATGCAAAACAATACTTCATACTGTTTAGGATACATGCATATGTGGTAGAAATACATGAAATACATGAAAATGATCAATACAGAAGTCATAGTTGTAATTACTTTTGGGTCCCACATGATAGAGTTGGGAAGGGGTATGAAGGGATAACAAATATGTTGATAATTCATATTTCTTAAGCTGCCTGACAGATATATAGGTATTCAATAATTATTCTCTGTATCTTTTAGTATTAGGTAAATGGGAAAGCTACCAATGGATCTAAGGACTTGAATGTTTTATAGAATACAAACCTAAGTCATATCTATTCCCCATAATTGGTCCACACCCTCCTCCAAAATAAATTCTTTAAAATTTACTGTTCTCAATTTCATTTAGACATTTAAGACATATTTGTAGACATACTGCACTATGCATTTGAGGGAAGAGGGATATTACTCATTACAAATACAGTAAGAAAGAGGCAGCGTGATTTGGAAGGCTGATATATATGCCTGAAGGCAATATGACCCTTAAGCTGGAATTCAAGGCAACTGGTTTTAGAATTCCGTGTTTATTCTCATAATCAACCTGGGTAGTAATTTAACTAATTGGTGGTCCAGGTGAGATGGATACATTTGCCATACACAATCCAAACAGCTGCAGTCATTGGTTAGAAGGCAGAGTGTCGGTGGAAACATCAATATGCCAAGAAGGGCAAGACCTAAAATCCTTCAGTTAACTCTCTACCCAGCTGTTAAGTGCATTTGTGAAATTAGAGTTGACCTATAAGTGCACTGTAATGCTTTAAAATGTAGTGTTTAAAAAAAAATCAATATGGTTAGGAAAGTGTACTAATTAGACAGTATCCGAGCAATTACAAAGTATTATGTCAACATACATTTTTATTACCCTGAGTCTAGTATTCATCTAAGACAGAGACCACCCAACTTCCTATTAAACATGCCCTTCCCAAATTACCAACTAAAATCAATCAATACCTTCTCCTTGAATTTTGTGCTAAGAGAAATGAATACAAATTAGAGGGAATAAATTTCAAAGTAAAAATAGCAGGTTCACTATTTCACATGAAACCTGATTTTGGGAGAGCTGTAGACCTTACTTACCCAGGGGGTGGGATAATTCCTCCCAAGAAGCTAAAGTTGGATAATTGAAGCAAGTGAAGCAAAAAAAATTTTAGTACCATCTAACTTGATATACATCTGCAACAATGTGGCATGATGGTGGATGTGAAGGAAATTCAGCAAACTGAACAACTGCAAAAGCTTGAAGATCAGTGACTAACAGGCTCACAAATAAAAGTGCATAAAGTAATCATGCTCTCCATGAACCACAGCTCTAAAATTAATGTGCACATAGGAAAAAAAAAAAGGCAGCTATTCCCAAATTGCTATTTCTGGCTACAGACATTGTACATCAAGACAGACATTTTCAAATCAACAGCAAATAGTGTACCCAGATATCTTTAAGTTCCCTACAAACACTTTGACTCTCAGATATATCCACCAAGGAATGAATTCCACATACAGTATAAGTTAGAATGATTCTTGTAGTACTCCCTGTCCTCCTGGTAAGAAAATGTTTTTGTACCATTCTTGCAATTAAACATTTACCAGATGTTATGGATTGAATTGGGTTGCCAAAAAACATAGGTTGTAAACAGCTCTGGTGGTATAGTGTGTCTAAGGCATTTAACTGGTAACCAGAAGGTTGGTGGTTCTAAACCCACCAGATGCTTTGCAGAAGGAAGATGGGGCAATCTACTTCTGTAAAGATTTACTGCCTTGGGAACCTGACAGAGTTGCTATCAACTCGATGGCAGTCAGTTTTTTTTTTTTTGTTTACACTTGTGGATGCTAAAGAAATAGGGTTTCCTTTGTTATGTTAAGAAGGCCGTATCAGTGTAGGGTATGTCTAAACCAACCACATTTGACATATAAAATGGGCAGATTAAGCACAGAAAAGCAAGCAGGATGAGGGAAGACAGATGTCAGAACACAAAGATCATTGCCAAGAAACCAAGGAACAGAAACTAAAAAGAGACAAGGACCTTCGCCCAGAGCCAACATAGACAGAAAGACTTCCCTTACAGCCAGTGCCCTGATTTTGGACTTCCAGCTTCCTAAACTGTGAGAAAATAATTTTCTATTGTTAACACTGTCCATATGTGGTATTCCTGTTATAGCAGCAGTCTATTAAGACACCAGCTTATTAAAAAAAAATTATTTTTTTAAAACTAATTCAGTGTATCCTGTGCAACATTCTGAACTATGTATCATAAATTCAAAGGTAAATTATATCGTTTATCAGTTTGACAAGAAGTAAAAGGCAAGATGAAAAATGAAAATTCAGAAGGAAAACATCACCACCTCATTCTGGGATAGACTGACAGCTAATTCTGGTCCAGTTTATCTTAGGAAGGATGAGGATCACTGTGTAGTCTTTCTTTTGGAAGCAGCAGCAAAAAGTAAAAGGTATACGCTAACAGCAAAGACTTCTGCATCATCTTTCATTAGTTGTATTTCCTCTATTTTCTACCAACAGCCACTGGAACATCTCTACTTGGACATCCCACAGGCCAAACAGTCCAATCTACTCATCACCTCCTAGACCCCAAACAAGGAATGATCTCTGTCGGGTTTACCCAGGTTAGAAATCTGGATGTCCTCATTCATTCACTGGTCTTCCTCATCACCTACATCTAATTATTTATCAAGTCATGTTGATGCTACCTTCCAAAATTCTATTAAATTTGTTTTTCTTCACTGCTGCTGCCACAACCCCAGTTTAGGTTATAATGATTACTCAACAGATAATTTCTTTCAAAGTGTGGTCAAATGTGTCAGTTATTTTCCACAGCCTGGATTCTCTTTAGAGGGACAGTCATATTTACAATCATGCATTACACTGGATGGTGTTTTCCTTTGGAGATTAGCATAGTCAATAGAGAATTACAGGAACAATAATAAAAGTTGAAAAAATAAAGGTTAAAGTCATTACCTTTTTTTTAAAAAAATGAGTTTCTGCCCCCAGAACATTGATTCTATAAACCAGAAAAACCCCACTGATCACATTTGAACATACTGATCACTTTAAACAAAAAAAGAGTCAAGATAGTAATATCATTCGATATTACTCTTAAAGTGATCTTGAAGATGTCTGTTCTCATGTACAGTCTAGGGGGCCAGAAAGCAAAACCTTGTATGTATATCCTTACACAGCAAAGATTAAAGAATGGAAGAAGGGGAATGTATAATCAGATGAAAAATGAATAGCTAAACACTTACCGAAATGCTTGATTCAGAACTGGATAATGAAAATGTTCTGGTGCCAAGCCTATGACCACAGCATTAGGATCACTTGTTTGTATTCCTGGGAATGAAAAATAAATAAACAAATGCTGAAAAAATGCAATTAAAACTAATGTGACATTTTAAAATAAAATCATTTTAGTCAATCAAGTACAAACTTTCGCTTCTTCCATAGTATGGAGTCTCAGAGATTATCCTGCCCAATGAACTTGGAAGGAAGGAAAGGAAAGAAAGAGTCTTGTAATACCGTGCATACCCCTTCTGCATGGTTTTACAGTCAGTCAGTAACTAGATCTAAATTGAAAACTGTAACCTGATGTTTTTGAACAAGTTACAAGGTCCAACTTCAAAAAGATTTACTGATTACTATCAACAAAACCACCTTGAGTTCCCTATGAGGTATCAGATCAATAGCAATTGATGAGGGACTGAAAATCTAAGAGGCAAGGAACTTAGACTCTAACTGATAGAGTGAGCTCAACACATTCATGATAAATATGGAATGCACTACAGAGTCTCCATTTTTTTACATACCAATCAACTTTTCGTTTCACAAATATTATTTTATAACTACCTGAAAGCAGGACTTCAGATATGATAACCAAACCAGTGCCTTCATGATGATGGTTATTAAAAGCCTGACTAAAGGTACTGTGTATTATTCATATGCCAATTCCTATTTATTTGCCTGCCTGAAGCATTTTCATGATCAGTTCCACCAAAATGTGAGTAGAAGAAACAGAAAGAACAGACACTCAATTTCCTTCTTATCAAGAGCCATGAGTATTAAGTAACTTGTTAGGACATGATGAAGGAAGAAATAACACTGTTGGCTACAGCGGAGTTAGAGTTTTCGTGTTCTTTTTATCTCCATCTAACACTAGCAAAGGTATTCACTATTAGGGAGCGCTGGTGATGTGGTGCCTAAGGCATTTGACTGCTAACCAGAAGGCTGGAGGTTCAAACCCCCAGCAAAGGTATTCACTATTAGCAAAGGTATTTCCTTCCCTTAGAAGGCCCATCTACCTGCTGCAGTCAAGGTGATTCTGATTCGTGTTGCCAGTAAAGCCTTAGACAAATCACTAAGATTTCTGCCAGACCAGGGACTGCGTATATATTCCACCTGCAGCTCACTGTTGACTCAGCTAGACTCACTTTCATTGTTTACTTAATATATCCCGTGAAGATCACTCATTATCAGGAGATGGCCATCTTGCACACTAGTTTCTTTCAGCTACAAAACACTCCATATCATAAGACAGTCTGAGTTGTTTCCAATCTTTTGTTATTACAAATAAGGCCATAAGAAATAATCTGTTACTATGGCATTGTGTACTTTAGTTACTGTATCTTGGGAATAGAGTCCTACAAGAAGGACTGCTGATTCTTGGGTAGTTTTGCTAACTGCTGACAAATTGTCCTCCAAAGAAGTTATACCATTTTATATTCCCATCATGGAGCCCTGGTAGCACAGTGGTTAAGCATTTGGCTGCTGAAAGGCTAGTGGTTCAAATTAACTAGCTGCTCTGTGGGAGAAAGATGTAGCAGTCTGCTTCCATAAAGATTTACAGCTTTGGAAACCCTAAGGGGAAATTCCACTCTGCCCTACGTATGATCACTAAGAGTAGGAATTGACTCATAGTCAATTGACTCATAGTCACTATGAGTGGCAATGGGTTTGGTTTCTTTCTTTCCTTTTTTTTGTTATTATTCCCACCACTACTCAAATCTTTTTAGTAAATTCATTTCCTATTTAATTCAGTCAAAGTTGGCTTCAGTTTCTTATAAGTAATAATTCTGATAGATACACTGATGTATTTCCTATCAGTAAAAGTTCTGAGGTTCACCCATGCTGAACTTCCCAAACCATTATTAGTAAAACCACTCTGTGTTTTTATAATGAATATATTTATACCCATTTTTCTATATTATACTAAGTATTATCTGCAAAAGGAAGCCCTGTGGCAAAGCTTCATAAAGTTGTAACACTTTTCCAGAGTCTATTAATATCTCCAAAGTGAAATGAGTTTATTTTCTCTTGATTGAAAAGCGTTTCATGTTTGTTGTAAAAACTTCCCACCATACAGAATGACATCTATTTTTCAACAAAGAGATCTCAGTTTAATACCATTTAACCAGGTTAATACAGTGGCTTCTGGATTAAAGACTATAATAATGCTCAATGTAATCTGACCTGTGAGATTTCAAACAATTAAGTAAATCAAATAAGAAACAGAGGTATCTCATGCTGTAAGAGTATTATTTAACAGACACATATATGTATAAAAGGAATTGCTATGTAATAGAATATGTTTCAATTTCGCTGAATTCATCAAAAAAGGTTTCAGAAATACCAATTTAGATCCAAACTCTATCGGTATTGTCAATCATTTCAATAAGAACAGGAAGAAATCAGAATAATCATGTCTAAGCATCCCACTTTAATCATGACTAATAAGCAGATATGAAGAACCGATTCTGAAATCTTTCCACATTTCCCCCACCTTGGAAATCACGTAGTGCCCGATCATCAACCAGCAGCATGGGCCTGACTTGTTTCTCCTCAACTAAATTTCTGGCTGCAGTCAGAGAAGTGAATATTTCATCTTCAGAGATATCAAATTCCAGTTTCTGCAACCTTTCCAATAGGTCGTGCTTGCTCTCTTTGGTTGTATTGGTCACAAACTTAATAATTACCGAAGCACCACGTAATCTGGAAAAGTTAACATTCCAATGTCAATGGGCAGTGTTTAGTTTATATTCTAGCTCCATAAAATTTCATAATTTGGTGGCACTGTCCCAGAGATCAGAACATGAAGGATAAGTCACCAAGTCTTTTTATGGCCAAAAGGCTTTTCAAAAAATCTGTTTCCTATGGGCAGTTATACCTCCAAAGGCTGCAAAGTCAAATTGTAAAAGCTACGTCTATCTTTTTAAGGGGCTTCTATATTTTAAACAGGGAGCTCCAGTGGCGTAGTGCCTAAGGCATCTGACCACTAACCAGAAGGCTGGTGGTTCAAACCCACCAGCCACTCCTCAAAAGGAAGGTTGGGCAATCTACTTCCGTAGTGATACCGCCTTGGAAACCCAAGGAGGGGTCGCTATGTGTCAGATCCAACTCAACAGCAGTGAGTATATTTTAAACGAAGGAGCTCTGGTGGTACAGTACCTAAGACATCTGACTGCTAACCAGAAGGTGGGCAGTTCAAATTTATCAGCCACTCTGCAAAAAGAAGACAGATTCTCCTGTAAAATTTTAGTAAAGAAGAGAGAAACAAAGCTAATTAACCACTATGTTGAGAGAATGTGAGTTCTGAAAGTTACCCTAGAAGTTATCTACTGGTGCGTCCTTTCTTCTTTTTTCTTTGTGGAGTTCTCCTCTGTCCTATAGGGGTACCACAAGTCTGAATCGACTCAACACCAACAGGTACTCTTATTAAAGATGAGGAAATTGAGGCCTAGAGGTGTCATGGTGGCCGAGATAGTTAGGTGCTTGCCTGTGAACCAAAAGGATAGTGGTTGGAATGCACCCAGCGGCTCAGCAGGAAAAAAGGCCTGGAAATCTGTTTCCATAAAGATTACAACTTACAAAACCCTATGGGGAAGTTCTCCTCTGTCACACGCAGTCACTATGAGTTGAAATGGACTCAATGGGACACAACAACAGAAGACTTAAGTGACTTTTCCAGCTTCACACAGCTGGGTAGCAGGAGAGCTGGACAAGAACTCACATCTTCTATGGCCGGGTACAGTGTTGGATTTCCTATACTGAAAGAACTGCAGATACCTCAGGATGCTCTCCTTTCCTCTTAGCCAATTAAAGAGTGGCTAAGTCCTACTACTGGTGGCATAGTGCCTAAGGCATCTGACTGCTAACTGGAAGGCTGGCGGTTCAAACCCACAGCCACTCCTCGGAAAGAAGATCGCGCAATCTACTTCTGTAGAGAAACCACCTTGAAAACCCAAGGAGGGGTTGCTATGAATTGAATCAACAATGGCAGTGAGTTTGGAGTTTTTTTTTTTAAGCCCTACTATGTTACTAAATTTGTAAATAGCAACTAGCTGGGCAACTCAAGGAAACATTCCAGTTTTATAGTCCAAAATGTGTTTTCCCTTTGAACCACTTACTTACATGACTGTTTTGATTCTATGCTTTGCTTTTGAAACCTAGTCCGGCAATCAGATTATCAGAGAAAGAACTGATAACACAGCCTGGAACCAAACCAAACCCACTGTCTTCCAGTGCCATGGAGTTGTTTCCAATTCGTAATGACCCCTGAAGGGTGTTAAAGGCTGTAAATCTTTACGGAAGCAGAGTGCCTCATCTTTGCTCTGTGGCAGAACCACCTACCTTTTGGTTAGCAGCCAAATGCCTTAACCACTGCACCCTCACCACTCTGATAATACAGTCTAGTCTTCCTTAAAGATGACTATTGATGGCTCTACAGTGTATAATCCAACACTCTAAAAATAATTTAAATTTAGCTACAATTAAAAATTTTCTATTAATACCTTGTTGCTTTTTTTTTATGCTTGCCAAAGGGCCACAAGGCATAAAGCACTAACCACAATTTAAAACAAGCAAATAAACAGAAAAGGCATTTTTAAGTATTTGCCCACAGAACATTAAATAAATTTATATGATTAAATAACTCACTGTAATCATGATTACCTCTATAATATCTATGTGGTAGCTTTTCAGAAAAACACATTGTATTTGGTGGTTTATCTCTCAAAAGAAATTGATTACTTCTACACCATTATCCCAAAAATGAATAGTTTAAGTATTGAAACCACTACATCATTTTTAATGAGAGTTTTTTTTCACTTTTCTTTTTACTAGTCCCCCAACTTCCCTATTCCTGTTTGTTTCTATAGAAATCCAAACTGGCAGAACAGTGTAGTGCTTTCTCTGGACTGAAAACCCTCCAATGCCAGTAACAAGATAATCTGTGGGCTCTGGCTCCACCAGAATGGCAAGCTGACAGTTTACAGTGCTACAGAGAGGCGTTACTGTTCACCTGAAATACAAAGGTTTTTCTTTCAGTGCACAGTGGAAAGCTCATCGTTACAGCAGTCAAAGTGCCTGCCCAACAAAAGAGCAGACTGAACAAGTGATGTTCTTGCCCCTGGGAAGCGAAATTAATAGCAAGACCGCATCAAGAAATCCAGACGAAGCCCAACTCTGCAACTGACTTTCTTTTGACTTTATACAACATGGTAGCCACCATTTCTCTACCTGTAAAATGAACATGACAAACTCCTAAATAAACTGATAGCTCCTGCCAGATGCCTACCAGATATGTAAATCTATTTTTGATTGCTCAAATGGACAGTAAATTCCTTGAGAGAGTGCAAAGTCTGTGGCAGTCTTTTGCCCTAACACCTGACACAGTTACTGTTGTTATTGTTATGTACCGTGGAGTCGGACCTGACTCATAGTGACCCCTCCTTGGGTTTCCGAGGCAGTATCACTATGGAAGTAGATTGTCCAATCTTCCTTCTGAGGAGTGGCTGGTGGGTGTGAACCGCCAGCCTTCTGGTTAGCAATCAAGTGCCTTAGGCACTATGCTACCAGAGCTCCTTAGGTTACTAGTCATTAGATTTTCTCATTACAAGCATATAGTGGAGTCTGGGAGGCACAAGCAGTTTGTGATCAGCTGCTAACTTAAAGGATGTGGGTTCAAATCCACCCAGCAGCATTATGGAAGAGAGGCCTGGTGAACTGCTACTGTGATGATTACAGCCAAAAAAACCCCTATGGAGCAGTTGTACTCTGTAACAGCCTGGGCTGCCATGAGCTGCAATTGACTCAACAGCAATGTGCTAGTTTTGTGAGCATTTTAAGGTTGAAAAATGCTAAGCACCACATGCTAAGTACTGATGACTGTATACATTTCTCTAAATTATTTTAGGGTGAAGATGCTTACTACCAATTGTTATTTCTGTTGTGTTGAGTACTCTTTTCAGGACACCAGAAGCAAATATTCACATTCAGTTTATTTTAACAAGCTTTTACTATGTCCCCAGTTTGTATCTAGACTTTTCCTTAGTATCGTTAGATATAAGAGAAATGTAAGACAGTTCTAGCCTTCGGAAGCTTTAAATTTAGTTAATGGAAATAATTCTAAAATTTCAAGCTCTTTAATTACACTTTATTTGAGCAGCTGCACACTCAATGCTAGCTCTTAGACGTAGGGAGAGGGGGTGGAACTAAGGCTGTGTGTGTGTGTTTCATTTTGTGACTGCAGGCTTCAGTGGTGATTTTTCTGGTGTTATTTCTTCCACATTTTAGAATCTTTAAGTTTTTATTAGAGTTTTTATTCCCAAATTTATATTACCAACTTAGAAAAAGATACACACACACACACACACACACACAGAATAAAAAGACTAGATCAAAAGGCCAAACCTAATAAAGGCTCAGAGAACGTTTGGAAGATATTACAACGCATACGTCTTCTAGCTAAACCCAAGGCAATTCCTGTATACATGGTAAGCGGGTGAAGTGCCATCGTAAGGCCATCCATTTAGCTAATGATCTGCCTTGGTAAAATGGCACTTACAAACATATTTGTCAGCTGAACTTGGAGGAGAGCTTGCCTTTTAAGAGCTTCCTGGGCGCCCGGCACAGCTGCATCTTCAATGTGAAGTGTGCCATTGAGATCTACCAGAACAGCTTTTAATGCACGGCGTGTTGCCATCCTTCATTCCCTAGGAGAGAGCAAATGAAATTAAAAATACAGTTTAGCAAACAATGGACAATTAAAAACTGGTAAATCTTCAACAGTATTATTCATATCAAGAGAGAAACTGCTTAGTGTTAAGCTGCCTGTCTTTTGGAAAAAATACATTTTAAAAAATAAAAAATCCAAAATTTGATCCATATAACTTTTATAATGCTTACTCTTTTTTAAAGTCTAGAGTTAAAACTATAGGGATGGAAATGCTAAAGCAGAAATTATTATTAAGTTATCTTTAAAAAAATCTCTTTGGCTGAAACATGAATTTCTTTATTTATTTTTAAATATGAGAACAATGTACTCTGAAGAATTGGGGGGGACTGAAAGCACTAATCACTGGTAAAATCTCCCTCATCCTTGCGTCTACGATGAAAACGTTCCAATCTTCCATTTCTGCTGTTTTTGTTCTGAAACAGTGTCTATAGCAAAGGAGCTACCAGTAAGGCTCATCAAGAAGGGAATGTCAAGTTACAGAGTAGTTTTAAAGTCAGGAGATACTTTCCTTGCCTTAAAATGTGCAACTTTACTTTGCATTCCACCACCTCCCCCCCCCCTTTTTTTAAAATTATGATTTGTATCATACACAGTGAAACCTGAAAGAACCAGAACTTGATAGGAATATCCAGTTTTGTGGGCCTTGTAAGTTTCCAATTTTTGACAGGGTACAGTCTTACTACTTTTCTATAGCTCATTTTATTGGAAAATATTTAAATTTTCCTTCTCTGACAGATTTCTGCCTTACATAGTTTTTACTTTATGCAGCATAATATAAGGTAACACACATGGTTTGAAGACTATTAATAAAGGGTGGGTGAGAACAGCATGGAAGCTTTAGGGAAAGGGATGAGACTTCACTTTAAATTTTGACTTTGAACTATGTTAATGTTTTAGATATTAAATTTATATATGAAAATTCCCTAAAATAGAATGAAAACAGAAACAAATGAACCTAGCCAAGTAAACTTTTGAACATGGTACTTTGACTCTATTCCTTCAATAGGGTACATTCAAAGGACAAAAAGAAATGCAAAGAAATCTTGAACTTTACTTGGTAGTTTTGTGGTTGGTAGTGGTAGTGGTATGAGCTCCAAAACTATTTTGTGTGTACTGTATGATTCAGTAAATGAGTAAATATATTGATGTTGTTAAAAATCAGGGTTCTCCATGGTAACAGGACATCAAGCTCACTGGCATAGCATACTACACAAAACACCGCTCCACATCCTACTTTGGTGAGTAGTGACTACGATCTTTTATAAAAGCTTGCAAGTGATATACAGTACTGAGTTGTCAGTGAAAGCAAACATGGGTATAGGGATGGACAGATGGGTGAACAAGCTAAACAGTTAGGTATGTCTAAATGGAGAGTGTATCCAAGATCATATATAGGGTTGGCAGACAATGGGCCTATAAGTTCATGTGAATGATCAGAATTTCCAGGTGTATAGTAGAGCTGACAAGGGGCAATGTTATGGTCATTGCTTGGTCACAGCCAGCTACCCAGAGGGACCGAGTAGTTGATCCTGCGGGCCATAGTCGCAGGGGACATCAAGCTCAATTGGCATAACATACTATACAAAACATTGTTCCACCTACTACTTTGGCGAGTAGCGACTGGGACCTTAAAAGCTAAGAAGCTGCCATCTAGATGCAACAACGGGTCTCTCCTCGTCAAGAAGAAAGAAGAAAACCAAAATTAATGGAAACAATCAGTCCTAGCGACTGGTACACCATCCGATCTGAACCTATACAACCATGAGACCAGAAGAACTAGATGGTGCCCAGCTACCATTGCCATCCACTTGGAAGGGATGTAGGAGATCCTGCATAAAGAGGGAGAACAATGTGGTACAAAACTCAAAATCATTTGGAGGCAAAGAAAAAAAAAAAAAAAAAGAAGGTGGGGACCAGGTTTGCTGGTCCAATAGAGCCTGGTGGAACCACTGAGACTATGGCCCCTAGCTGCCCTTCAGGTCTGGAATTGAACCCACAACTGTGGTTTCCAGCCAAACAAAGTACAGGCATGTGAGTTAAACGTTTATTTACCTCAAGTAGACACACGCCCTGGAGAGAACAATCATGGGAGAAGGAAGGGCTGCTTATGCACAGGGAGATAGCTCAGGGTGCAGAAGAGTATGAAGGGATGGACACTGGGAGGAGGTAACTATGGGGAGGAAGTGGGAGGGGAGCTGCTGCATTGTAAATTTTGGTCAATGACATGAGACAAAGTATATGTGAACTGCTGTATGAAAAGTGAATTTACTCTGTAAATCTTCACCCAAATCCTAATTAAAAAAAAAAAGAGAGAGAAAAAAGCTTGCAAATGGCCATCTAGATGCAATGATGGGTCTCTTCTCATCCAGAGCAAAGAAGAACGAAGAAGACCAAAGATTCATGGAAATAATTAGTCCAAGCAACTGATACACCATGCAATCCTCAGCCTATACGACTATAAGACCAGAAGAACTAGATGGTGCCTGGCTACCACTGTCAACCACTGAGAGGAGGATCTATGTAGGAGATCCTGGATAGAGTGGGAGAACAATGTGGAACAAAACCCAAAATCTTTAAAAAAAAAAAAAAAAAACCAGGTTTGCTGGTCTGATAGAACCTGGTGAAACCCCTGAGACTATGTATGGCTCCTAACTGCCCTTCAGGTCCTACGGCTTCCAACTAAATAGACAGGCACATGAGCTGAGCATTTACATCACCTTGAAGAGCATTTACATTACCTTGAAGAGATCAATCATGGAAGAACAGAAGGGCAGTGTATGCACAGGGAGACAGCTTACAGCTTGGGCGGCAGGAGTGCATGGGAAGGAAGGACACAGGGAAGAGGTAACTATGGGGAGGAAGTGGGAAGAGAGCTGTTACACTGTGGGGAATTGCAGTCAATGTCATGAGACAAAATGTGTATGAATTGCTATATCATTTTCATATGAATTTGCTCTGTAAACTTTCACCCAAATCACAATAAAAATAATAATAAAAAAAAACACATCAGGATTCTCAAATGGGAGAGAAAGAAGTATAAATGTGGAATGGGAAGACAGAAAGAATCCTGTGATACTGGTTTGGAATTGGAGGTGTCAGTATGAATTTATGATTTTTAAAAGTACATAGGGAGCTATGTATTACTACACTGTCTTTTCCACTAATAGAGACAAGCTTCAAGGTGAGCAAGCTTGAGTTTAAGTACCATCCCATATAGTTCATTGTCAGTTTACTCAACCAAAAGGGAACTGTTTTAATTTAGTGCCATGATAAAACCAGTCAAACTTGTATGAATATATTGATGTTGTTAAAAATCAGGGTTCTCCATGGTAACAGGACATCAAGCTCACTGGCATAGCACACTCCACAAAATTGTGGGATACAATTTACCTGAGACTTCCATTCATAGTGACCCAGTGTGCTGCAGAGTAGAACTGCACCCCATTGGTTTTCACAGCTGTGACCTTTAGGAAGCAGGCAGCTAGATCTTTCTTCCAAGGCACTTTTGGGTGGGTTCAACTGCCAACCTCTTCGGTTAGTATTCTAGCACTTAACCAGTTACACCACCCAGGGTCTTCCATATACTGCTACTGGGAGAATAAGTTAGGACAATCATTTCTGAAACCAGTTTGCCATCACCATCTTCTATCACCCAGAGAATCCACTCCCCGATATTATACCCCTGAGAGATTCTTTCACACTGTAACAGAAGATATCAACAAAAATGTTCCCAGCAGCTTTCTTTGTAATAGCTAAAAACTGGAAACAATACAAATGTCCATCAACAGCAGACTGGGTAAATAAACTATGATATATTCAAACACCAAAAACAAACTCACTGCCCTCGAATTGACTGCGACTCATAGCAACACCTCCTTGGGTTTCTGAGGCGATATCTCTACGGAAGTAGATTGCCCAAATGCTTTAGGCACCACACCACCAAAGCTCCCATATCCAAACAACAGAATTAAAAAGGCAACGGAAATGAATGAATTAGTTACATACATCATCCTAGGTTAACTCTCAGAAATAATGTAGGGTGAAAGAAGTCACCAAAACACACACACATATATAAACCAAACCAAACGCACTGCCATCGAGTCAGATCTGACTCACAGCGACCCCTCCTTGGGTTTCCAAGGTGAGACTACTATGGAAGTAGATTGTGTATATATATATATATATATAGATATATAGATATATAGATATATAGATATATAGATATAGATATACATACACATATAGTTTCATGCTACAACTCCCAAAATAGGGATGCATACATAGGTGACAAAAAAAGAGAAGTAATGGAATGATTATCACAAGGGACAGTATAAAAACCTACCTTCAAAGTATTGATTTTTAAATTAACTCAATTCCTTTTGTCTTTTATAACGTATCTGATGGGGAGAAAGAAAAAAAAAGGTATACTGAAGCAAAAAAATAAAATAATAAGAGCTATGGTTAATCGAAATTCATGATAAATGCCTCCCTTCTGTCAATCCTTGTACGTTATCCTATTTCTGATCTTCATTGTAGCCTTGAAATGGAAAATGACAGTGAATGGTAACATCAACCATTACTTGCCTGAGGCTGGAAACAATTTGTTACTCAAAGGACTAGACTGTTCCTAAGGAATGTATTTGGATATGTAATAGTTAAGGGATTCTGTAGTTTAAAATACACTAATTGTATCACAAAGTTAAAACTGCTCAAAATGAAGACACAGCATTTTCTAAAACTACTTTTCTCAAAAGGCAACTTTCATAAGACACATCTAAAATTCAATAAAAATTGTTAACTCTGAAGTTGATTAAAGAACCAAACATTAGGATGACTAGGAAAAATAACCAATGTAAGAACTGTATTGTTTTAAAACTGTCCAAGTAGATCCAGGGAACTTTCATCCTCAATATTAACCACTCAAATCCTTATTGAAGCATCAACAGAGGTTCCATGTTACCAAAACATTAAAAAAGC